TTGGCATGAAGCCAAGATGGTTTACAATACATTCTATTAAGAACATGCTTGCTTGCTTTATGAAACTGCACACAGTACTGCTTAAGAAGTCAATAAGCCATACAAAACAAGGTTATATTTTATTTATACTATTTTCTATTTTGAGGACAACTTACCCTGTGTTAGAAACAGAGCGTCCGCTTCCTTGGTATCCATGGCAATCATGATCTGTCTGATGACGATGTCGTAAACAATAATTCAATCGGCATGAGTCGCATATTACTGGAACCAGCTTGGGAAGAAATAATGGAAATTTTTGTCAATTAAAATTATAAACTTCTGATAATAATTGAGGCTTGCCATTCCAAAACCAGTGTACAGTGTACTGTGATTTTGTTAAAATAATATTGTTGAAGTGAAAATTAGCATAAGAATGAGGCAGAGTATTGTATTACCTTAATACAGAGAAGTCATAATACTTTTGCTCATAACTTTAGCAATAGCAAATCGATTCCAATAAATGGCCCATCATTTTAAAGCTTAAAATGTGGAGAATTAGTGCATAAATTACTTACTGATGCAGGTTTTGGGATGGCAAAGCCCCCGGAAGCATTTTGGGGAAAAATTTTTTTCTTTGCTCATCACAAATTAATGCATAAATATAATATTTTTGCTTACTCCAAACCACTAAATGTACTACTGTTTTGCTATAATAGTGTGAAGTTGACATTTTGTCCTGAAGGCATTTCATCAAGATAATTTCATGTTCGGAGTCACACAACATTTTTTTCCCCAGGCCTGATGGCAGGCTTAAATTTAATTAAAAATTATTCCCCATCATATCACTATTAGCAGAGACAAAATTGTGCTCACTGTGGATCAAGACGATCCGTGTATAACTAATCCTTGGGGATTAAATCACCACCAACCGTATGGAAGCTAATTCATGTAGCATATAAATACAGTACCATCCAGAAAACATTAGCCCACCGCACGCATTTTTTCCGCAGATGAAAATCGTGGGACACGCAATTAATTAGTTTGTATAATGACCACCCATACGCAGTCAACCGTTACGGCATTGAGTAATTCATGGCTTCAACAAACTGCCTAACGATTTTTACGTTCAACAAATTGGTCTGTGTTGTTTATCAGCCTGTAAATAGACTTACTGTATGCAAACTTAGCGTAAAACTGCTGCAGATTACTCTCTTGTATAGCTGATTGATTGACTGACACATTTACTGATTGGTTGATTGTTTTAAGTTGATTACCTGGTTGAATGATTTGTGTTGATTGATGAATTGGAAGACACCCAGTTATCATACTACATGCTTATTTAAAGCTGTTTAAAAGTTTAATTACTGTACCTTTCTTTTTACATCCTATAAACCTTTCGCTTATTAACAGCCGCTGATTGATATCTGCATTGCTCACTCATTAATTTGACTGATTGATTTATTTACTGATTCATTGAAAGATTTAAAATTTTTTGAATTTAATTACCTCTTTCTTTTTACATCCTTTTACATTGCACCTATTAGCGTAAACCTTTCGCTTCTTAACAGCTGGATCTGACTGGCAATCCCTATCTATGTGTCCAGACACAGCAATATCAGGGGCTTCACCTCGCTTGCCCGGAACGGGTTTATTGCACAGTGGACAAACAGGCACTTGAATATCCTGAAAATAAGGTTAAACAATAACAATGATAGTTGCAGAACCATTATAATCGTTAATAAGCTAAACACAATGAATGTTAACCTTAATACTACTTTAATAAACAAACCAGATAATAACTATTAAATTTACAAAATAATAATGATAGTTTTTAATAACAACAATAATTCCAGACTTAATTTTGTCAATACTTTGTGTCATGGTGTTTGTATGTGTATGTTTTGTTGCTGAAGTAAAAACAAAATTAATTTTTCAATGATATGGACCAGGGGAATGGAAAGCAAATGAAGAATAATAATGAAATTGAAACAAATAGTGACGTATCTAGTGGGCGCCATCTTAGTTGCCCTGTGCCCCCACCCCACCGTACCCCCACAAAACTTGAGTAGTAAACAATCACCTCATTATCACCTGATCTTGTTAGCTAGCACTCCCTACCCCAACTTCACCTTTGTTCTCCCATCACATCAACTCACCCCCACCCCATTTTTAACACTCTTAGAAACACCACTGGTACCAAACATACAAACTGATGTGAAAATTAAAGTATTTGGAAAGTTACCTTTTTGTAAGAGGATGGGCAGCTATGCTTAGAATAGATGATATGATCCTTACTGAAATATTAAAAATATATATAGTTATACAGAAATGATATCAATAAAGTTTTACTGTTAAATTTACTGGCATTACAAGGTACACAGTTGTGCTTTACAACATACAAAGGTTTGATAATCCTACAAGAGAATTGGAAATCATATCTTTTAAATGTTATTCAATTCAATACAGAGAAATTGTCAAGGTATATGTTTAATCTTTACAGCATTTTTTTAACTTACCAAAATACTTCATTACATGCATCACATATCATAGGCAAGAAATCTGAAAAAAAAAAAATACATTCTTAATTTTTTATAGATATAGGGCATTGCCTTTTGCAACCTACTACAGTACTACTTCTACCACTACCACTAATAATACTAGGATTGCATAAAAATGAATTAAATATGTCTAGGCCAACAATAAGCCAATGTCCATTTGGTTTAATACAAGAAAATTTCTCTTCGTTCAATAAAGCTGAATTTCTTAAACAAAAAGCTATTCATTTAATTGTCATTTTTCAAAACGGACTTCTCAATCCCATTGATTTGTTGTGGCCTGCAGAGAGAGTAGACATATTTTATTGTATTTTGACTGCAAAAAAATATGACCAAAACATTTCTGTTTTGAGTATACTTTTACTGTGTAGGTGTTCTATATTGGAGCAAAGCAAGGAGAATTAATGTTGTCTGGGAAGCGTGAAGGCCTAACTACCACTACCCTACTGCTCAGTCTATCCACAGAGCTTTAGCTAGAGCGGCCTAGGCTTATTTTGCCTGGTGAATAGGGAGTGAAGTGATAAGGTGTCTTCCCTAAAGAAAATAATTTGGCCCAGGCGACCGAACGAGTTTACATATGCCTCTAGATGCCTAGCCTATATTAGGCCTATCTATGACGAATGATTCCTGTTCTTTTTTAATGGTACTGTATGTAAGTTTCTTAAAATCTACAATAATATGGGTCTTACCAAGTTGTTTACAGCTGTTTTCAGAGCAATGTTTTCCTAGTCCAGGAAATTCCATATTTATATTACGAAAATGTTAGCGTAGTACGTACGAATGCTCAACAAAAATTCCGTCAACCAACGGGAGCTTTCTGATCTGTTATGAACGAAACCGGAGAATACCAAAAGGGAAAACCCTGTACACGTGACTTAGCGTTTTCTATTTTTAGATTTTTATGAAAATAATTACATACATGGTGGATGTATATATTTCTATAAATTATTATAATCAATTTAAAATAAAGTTAAAAAAATACTTGAAAAATAATATATTTATTGAATTCTGGAGCAATACTGTATAAATATTATTACTTGATGATATATAATTGAGAACATAATCTTCAATGAAGAGTACCCATGAAAGTTCACGTGCTCACAACAAATCTTTGCTGGGGAGTAAACCATGACGGAAAATATTGACTCGAAAGTTCCAGAAAATGAACAAATTTCTGCTGATTCGCAAGAAGATAAAATGACAGCTAATCCTAGAGTATACTTTGATATAACTATTGGTGGGAAACCGTGTAAGTATAAGAATTTACTTCGTCCCTATGAGTGATTTATAGCTAGGCCTACTCACTAGGCTTGGTATGGTAGGTAGGAAGGCCATTGACCATGATATGTCGATGATGGCCAGTCGAGCGGAAGACCGTGGGGGTACCTCCGTCAATGGGAAGACGATGATGAGTAAGCCTAGCCTAGCTAGTTCAGTAGCAGACCTTCTTTTTCCTGTACTTGTGCTTTTGTCATTATACAGTAAGTAAAACATAGTTATTATTTTTAACAATTTGGAGGCCTAACTTATAATATAAATATTGTATGTTTTTTTTGAAAATTTGTTATAAAAATAAAAAGGACAGGCCTCCAACAACTCAATAGGCTAGTCTGGCTTAGCCTGCCAAAATTGGGGCTTAGCTAGGCACCTTACTTTTGTGTCGGGTCACGAGCAGGCTTGCTAAAAACAATTTAATATGTAGTCATTTTCAGACAGTTGATGTGAAGTTTAAATATGTCTGACAACTTAAAAACAGAATTTTTAGGTGAATCCTCTGAACAATATTTTATTATCATGTCCACAATGGATATTCTGAAATTCATATGACTGTCGCTGTCATGGTGTGGACTCTCATTTCATTTAACACCCCCTTCCTTAAATCCTTGATTGATATGCTAAAGTTAATCACCAGTGGGGGATTCAAGGCTCAAATTCAATCAGGATATGCCACAGGTAATCACAAGGTTAACATTTAGGTTTAAATTCATCAAATATATAATTCAAGGGTTTAACATATTTTCTGCAAAAAAGTTGATTACAGTATATTTTCGTTGCAATTCAAATATCAAAAGTATGGGTGCCATAATCATAAAATTATTACTGTACCTCAGTCCCAACTCTTTATCAGAGAAAATTCCTCTTTGTGTGCCCCCTATTAAGAATTCCTTTATCTTCCACTGTTTTCTCAAAAGCATGATCATTAATAAACAAAAAATTCTGTATACTATTATTATGTTTTAATTTTTTAAAACATAAAGCAGCACATTTTGAGATCTTATATTATAATGGTCTATGACATTTAATATTACATGGGTCGCGGCTTGTCTAGTAAATCACAAATTGGGTACCAGATAAAAAATTTTGGGAAGCAGAGAGCTAGAGGACCTGCCCAGGACTACAGTACTAAAGCTTGACTGGGACTTTATTTTATGTTTCAAATAATAAATGAAATGTGAAACATTTTAGAAAGAGATCACATTTCAATTTGAGTATGTACTGTATGCCACCCAAAGTTCCCTCTGAATTTTGTCAATTGTCTCAATATACCACCATTTGCATCCTCCTTGCAAATTATATTAATACTATTTATGTAAATTTTATTAACTATCATAAAGTAAGCTTACATTCAGTTATGAACTTAGCCCTTTTGAATAAATCAAATGAACCAATAGGCTGTACAGTGTTTGTAAATGTGGCACATTTCACTACTGTAATATCACTAAATACTTACACTTCATAGTTGCAGAAATCAACTAAACATTTGTCTAACGATTTGCTACCATGTTTCTTTTGAAGCTGGTCGAATTTATTTTGAGCTCTTTGCTGATGTCGTTCCAAAAACTGCTGAGAACTTCAGGGCTCTCTGTACCGGTGAAAAGGGAACTGGACAAAGTGGGAAGCCACTACACTATAAAGGAAGTATATTCCATAGAAGTAAGTATGCTATAAGCCTTGAACATGTAATTGTAGTAGAAATGTAGCTTAGCGTAGCTATAATGTGTATTTGGTAGAAAATTTAAATGCTTTAAAATCATTAATACCTGTACTGTACATACCTTTGTATATCAAAATTATATTGACTAAGAAAGTTGTTATGAAACCTGTTTTGTATGTGAAATCAGTTCTGCTATTAAAGGTTTGAAAACAAATTATATGTTAAATATTCAGGTGGTAGAAATCTAGTGCAGAATTTTTTCCCAAATGAAGCCACTCAAATTAACAGAAACACTGATCAACATTATGATTTTTTTTTTTTTCAGTTATAAAGAAATTTATGTGCCAGGGGGGTGATTTCACTAACCACAATGGAACAGGAGGGGAGAGTATCTATGGAGAGAAATTTGAAGATGAGAATTTTATACTAAAGGTAAATGTACAATGAAAAGTTTTGTCATTGTTTTGGTCTTGATGAAACAGCTGATGTAACAAATGTGGCGTGGTCAACCCCAATCAGTCGCTTTTTGGAAATTTGGATTTTGAGATACAAAATTGTTATTTAGTAATGTATTCTCTTCACATATGTGAAAAAAATTTTACAATCCGACTTTACATTATGAAGTTATAGAAGTTTAAAGATACCTATGTTTGGAAGAAACCGTAAACATGTTTTTTTCAAAAACTAACATAAAAACAAAGAAATTATAGCCAGCCATATAGGACCAAAGTACAACACAATTCTTACTATGCTTGATATTTTCTTTGAGACTGAAAGTAAAGGTTTTCATTAGACAAATTAAAATGGCATGAGAATACCCCCAAAATTTAGGGGCCTCTTGAAAATAATATGACATTTGGAAAATGTGCTATATACTATGTTCTTTCTAATTGTGCATTTGATGTTTTTTAATTGTGTAGAGCCCTATCCAGAGACTACCAACTTTTATTTGACAAAAACATGCCTAAATATAATCATGATGACATCACATCATGACCATATATAGGCACATCATGACTATATATGGGCATATCATGACTATATATGGGCACGTCGTAACTATATATAGGCATACAATAGTTTTTTTTCAAAGAAAATTTGATATTGTGGACAAAGGTTTAAATAAATTTTACAACTGAAAAACATAATGTTTATTTGCAGCATGAGGAGTCAGGTCTACTGAGCATGGCTAATGCTGGACCCAACACTAACGGATCTCAGTTCTTCATTACTACGGCCAAGACAGCGCACCTTGACGGTAAACATGTTGTGTTTGGAAAGGTGTTCAGGGGTATGAATGTGGTCAAATTACTTGAAAGTGTTGAAAAGGAAGGAGAAAAGCCAATAAAGGTCATTATTGTATTCAATTATAGCATATATTATTGTTCTTATTATTACTATTAATTGTGAAAAAATTTATATTACGGTATTGTTTTTATTCCACTATTTCAGGAGTGTAAAGTTGAAGATTGTGGTGAAGTTGCAGCGGATGAGGTCATACCGGCCATTGAAAATGATGGCACCGGAGACATCTATCCCGAATGCCCAGACGAAGCAGGACTCGACTCTGGAAATGTAAATTACATAAAGCCATTGGAAACGAGCAATTTAAGGCAAAAAACTTTCAAATGGCTGAGACAAAGTACAAAAAAGCAGTCGGGTATGATTGTAATCCCCATTACTATCATTATCATCATTTATCTTCATTTTCATTAACAATCTTTTGAGTGTACCTCTTTGTGTTGCACTGTACAACCAAATTTCTACACTAACTATTCTTTTATCTTTTTACTGTCTTTTCTTCAAAACTCAAACACTAGAAACTGTTCTTCATAATCATCATTTATTTAATTCAGCATTTTCCCTCTTACGAAGGGTTACTGATTTCACACCATGATGACACTCCCATCTCCACTTCTTACTGTCTTGAGCATCCTCCTCATTTAGACCAACCTTGTGTAAACTTTGGTCTTCCTCTTGTACCTTCCACTTCCCTTTCAACACATGACCCATCCATCTCAATCCACTTCTCTTTTATCTTTTTACTGTCTTTTCTTCAAAACTCAAACACTAGAAACTGTTCTTCATAATCATCATTTATTTAATTCAGCATTTTCCCTCTTACGAAGGGTTACTGATTTCACGCCATGATGACACTCCCATCTCCACTTCTTACTGTCTTGAGCATCTTCCTCATTTAGACCAACCTTGCGTAAACTTTGGTCTTCCTCTTATACCATCACCTCCCCTTTAAACACATGACCCATCCATCTCAATCCACTTCTCTTTACCACTTTTACTATAGTTTCTTCCAGACCCAACTTACCTATGAGCTATCTTTCATTATTTCTTTTAGACAGTTTCACACCACACATCTTCCAACTCATGGCTCTTTCAGTTCTCCTCAAGATACCTTCTTCTACTGACTTCACATTCCACGTTTCTGATTCACCATTATGTTATCGCTGTTCTAAAGCTTTGTCTATACTATCAAATTCCTCAAAAAAGCATCACATAAAATTTGATGGGACATAGAGTTGAACATTTTTGATACAATTTGATGATATGTGATATGATGTCATTGTACCCATATATAGGCACATCACACTTTTTTGTCACATAAAATTTGGTAGTGTAGACAAAGCTTTACACAAGCCTTAGAGATCTTGCTTTTCATTCTCATTGTGAACCTTCTACCAGCTAGGATCGAAACCAGCTCTTGTCCGAGAAATGTTTAAATTTGATTTTTAATTTAAAGTGCTCTCAATGCAAGATATCCTCAAATGGATTATAATATTCTTGTACATTTCGAAAACAGACCTTTTTACTTGAAAAATTCATAAATTTATAAATTAAAAATTTGAACCTTCTATTGTTAACTAATATATTTTCATAAATTACTTTTTCTCTCTTGCCGTTCAGATATCTGGATCTGACAGGTGATGGCGATTCCTCTGATTCTGATATAGAATTGAATGAGAACTTGACGAAGGAGGATCGTGAGAAGCTTCACCAAGCATACCTACCACTCCACCTCAATTTGGCTGCTTGCTATTTAAGCCAAGGCCAATACCGTGAGGCCAAAGAGGAATGTGAAAAGGTTTGAATGCCTGCCTTTGTTTTATTTTAAAATATATGTGGCAAAGACAAACCAACCAGTCACTCGTCGCAAATCCTGTTCGGAGATAATGGCCAAAACATTCTGTAATGTCAAAATTTTGGAAATCCATTTTATTGCACTAAACTAACCTTTGTATATCTATACATCATTCTATGCTGTTATTTTCCCCATTTTCAATGTAAAACAACAATTTTTAACAATTTAGTGATGGTTCCTGCCTAAGAAATGCCCAAAATATTATTTTTTAAACAGCTGTATGTTTAAATTCCTGTAACTTCATAACAAAATGTCGGATTTAAATGAATCTTTTACCATTTTATAGCTCTCATTTTACTGTTTAACCCTGTATTTATAACTAAAAATCGATTTTTGCAACGAGTGAATGGTTTGGCTTGTCTTTGCCACATATGTTGTATAATAATGAAATACCTTTGATAGTTGTCTTTTTTTTTTTTAATTCAATAATTTTTATGTTCATGTTGGTAATTTGTATGTTTCTGCAAAATGAGTAAAAATTAATTTAAAAATTATTTTTAATTATTAAAAAATAATAATAATTATTATTATTAAATATTATTAATAATTATTATAAATAGTAATTATTAATAAATAATAATGATAATAATATATTTTTTTAAAATTATTTTTTATGATTTTTTTCATGTTCATGTTGGTAATTTGTATGTTTCTGCAAAATGAGTAAAAGTTAATTTAAAAATAATTTTTAATTATTAATAAATAATAATAATTATTATTATTAATAATAATTATAAATAGTAATTATTAATAAATAATAATGATAATAATATATTTTTTTTAAATTATTTTTTATGATTTTTTTTTTGTCATTTTCAAGGGACAATATCCAACACTGTCTTTATTATGTCCAATATTATCTATTCAATGTTAAACATATTGTATTGTTAAGCAGCTTAGCTCAGCCGACTATTAAGCTGCTGGTAGCCACTGTGGTGTACTGTTAATCATGGGAATCTTTCCCCACCTCCCGGTTCAATTCCATCTCCTGCTCATACCACACCATATTTCAGATTAGATGCTTAAACCATTGGTCCATGTGCATGCTAAAGAATGCAGTACACTTTTTGGAAAAGACCCGGGATTGCCTCCCTGTGTACTGCCCAATCCACTGTTTAAAGGGTTATCCTTGATGTATTTGACTGAAAAAAAACCAAATCTAATTGACTCCATTCTTATTATTTTTCAGGCATTATATATTGAGTCTAGCAATGCGAAAGCATTATTTAGGAGAGGAAAGGCTTATCAGGGAGTAAAGGAATATGATGATGCATTGAAAGACTTCAATGCTGCCCTCAAACTACAGCCTTCAGATAAAGGTATGTTTTCCTATTCAATGCATTTGATATAAATCTAACTCCATCAAACCAGTGGTGTATCTAACAATATTTACATGGGGGTGGGTGTGAGGATGTGAGGTGGCAGTGTGGGTGGTGCAAAGGTTCAGTGGGGGGGGGGCTTGATGATTAAGAGAGAAGGAACTTACTGGCCAAATACAAGGTGTTATGAGGTGATTTGTATACTATTTGAGCTTAATTTTGTTTTGTTTACGTGGGGTACAAGCATTATTTAGGAGGGTGTGCATCTTGAATAAGGGCACAAACAAGTTTTTTTTGACGAAAAAAACTGCTGTATGCCCATATATAGCCATGAACGCGATGATGTGATGTCCTCATGATCATATTAGGCATGTCACCTATATGATGTGCCTATATATGGTCATGATGTGCCTATATATAGTCATGACGTGCCTATATATGGTCATGACGTGCCTATATATGGTCATGATGTGCCTATATATGGTCATGATGTGCCTATGTATAGTCATGACATGCCTATATATGGTCATGATGTGCCTGTATATGGTCATGATGTGCCTATATATGGTCATGATGTGCCTATATATGGTCACATAGAATTTGATAGTTTTGACAGGGCTTTAAATTAATTTTTTTTTTCTTGTATTTCTATGTATACATAGAGTTAGAGAAGACAAAGTCACTAATAATCATTTTTTTCTTGTATTTGTAGGTATACATAGAGAGTTAGAGAAGACTAAGTCACTGATAAAGGCTGAGAGGGAAAAGGAGAAGAAAGCTTATTCAAAAATGTTTGCTTCATGATGGCACAGTTCCTAAAAAATGTCCTCAAATTGACTTTTCGGACAAAATATTTGCAACATGTTTTATGACGGACCAAAAATCATTGGTGTCCAGGAATGGAGCACGTCTCTCTAATCCACTGGATGATTTTTAGGATGCCTGTGAGGTTTGGGCTAACAGCCCTCTAGTTAGGATTTTCTAAAGAAATTGTAAAAATCTTCACATTTAAATCAATTTTTATGTTCGAAAATGTTCGTCAGATTCAGACAAAATCAACTAAGCTGCAGCCATTGCCAAACTAAGTGTGTGTCGAAGGTTAAAGGGCAACTAAACAGCTTCGTGCAACAGCCCAACAGGATTTATTCTCACATTGTGTTCATATATAAAATCACTTATTTCGAAACAAAACAAAGGAAAACATGCAAAACCTAGGTTGTGACCTTTATAAAGGAACACGCAAGGTAAACAGACAAAAAACAGTTACAGAAGCAAGTGACAAGAAAACAGGAGTCTTATAAAATATAGTTAAATGTAGGTGCAATGAGACTGCATGAGTCTGCATGAGGGACAACTACATTATAGATTATGAAACATATTTAATATTCTCACAACGGCTTAAGACAGTTTTCCAACGATTAATTGCAACGAGCTGCATGTACAATGCTGTCTGACTTGGCCCTAATCAATGTCGTTACAATTTGAAATTTAAATTAGTGAAATTGATTGGTTTAATTTTGAGTGATTTGTTTTGTACTTGGGACCTAAAATGTACAGAATGCTTGTCGACTTCACATTATAATGATATAGTTGTCTGGATGCACCCACCATGTTAAATGTAATTGTTCATTTTGTAATATGTTTTCATCTGATTGATGAAAATTGATGTTAATTGCGAGGTTACTGCAAATTAAATATGTGGAAGTTGTGGCAATATTTGTTTGTAATACTTCATTGTGTTATATATATATATTTTTTTAATTTAGGCACAGTTGGCTAAGGATTGCAAGAATTTAACTTTATCTTTGCATTTCACATGTGCAACTCCTTTCAAAACATGAACATAGTTAATGTTCTACGCACACTAATTCTTATTATTAGGCTTAACCAGTTCCAGATCGAGGAATTTGAAATAGAAAAGGCCCAGGGAAGCAGCCGATTCTACCTAAGTAGCCAAGGGAACTAAATCACTGTTTTTAATATTAATAGGCAATCCATTAATTATTTTGTACCAATATGTCCCTCAAATTACCCACTCTTGCTTACAAAAGACAAAGAGCTCATTCTGTTGACTCTTTTTTTTGAACTGGATAAAGGTAGGAGGACATGTGTTCATTCATTGAAATTAAAATTTAAGTTTTCACGCACCAACTGAATGAAAGATTCTTTTAGCAGGGAAGCTGTTATTTTATGGAATTCTTTACCATAAAGAATACCATAAAAGACCATAAATCAGTTAAAATCTAAACTTAAAGATGCATGGACCAACCACCCAGTTAAATTGTCACCATTTACCAAGAGACGATCTGTTCGTCATTATTTCATCAGTCAAACTTATTAAGCCTAACTATAGTTTAAACTGGAGAATTAATGTCACGTTGCGTGCTGGTTAGTTGTACACCGGGGACCTACATTTCCGCGTTTACATTCTGTATTTAACTATAGAGATGCAAATAATAGACAGAATAACGTTTTGGATAGATAGAAGTAGAGTGAGGCTGGGCAGATGCGGAGGGAGGGGTAGATTGTGCGACCACACTCCCTAAATTGTATTAAGAAAAATAATTGTTGTATTGCATTGTTGATATATTATTTTTATCAGGTTTAATATTGGGCATATATAGCTCAAGCTCATAGCTATAGCTCATGCTTTTTTTTTGGACGATTTTTTTACCCCGCCATTTTCCAGTTGTTTCGTATACCATGACACCTACAGATCACAAGAATCCTCTGTAGTTTGATAAATGCCACTTAAATCCTCGTTTTAAGCTTAAATAACGATAAATCGGAGGATTTATGATAACGATAAAAAGTATGAGCTATAGCTCATGGTTTTAACGAAAATTGCCCAATATTAAACCTTTTCGTTTTTCCTAGATTCGGCCACATGGTCCTAATTGAGTATCATCCAATTTATCGTTATTTAAGCTTAAAACGAGGATTTAAGTGGCATTTATCAACCTACAGAGGACTGTTGTAATCTGTAGGTGTCATGGTATACGAAACAACTGGAAAATGGCGAGGTAAAAAAAATCGTCCAAAAAAAGTATGAGCTATAGCTCATGGTTTTTTACGAAAATTGGTCAATTTTTAACCTGGTCTTTTTTCCTAGATTCGGCCACATGGGCCTAATTGAGTATCATCCGATTTATCGTTCTTTAAGCTTAAAACGAGGATTTAAGTGGCATTTATCAACCTACAGAGCACTCTTGTGATCTGTAGGTGTAATGGTATACGAAACAACTGGAAAATGGCGGGGTAAAAAAATCTTCCAAAAAAAAGGTATGAGCTATACGGTAGCTCATGGTTTTAACGAAAATTGCCCAATATTAAACCTGGTCGTTTTTCTTAGATTCGGCCACATGGTCCTAATTGAGTATCATCCGATTTATCTTTATTTAAGCTTAAAACGAGGATTTAAGTGGCATTTATCAACCTACAGAGGACTATTGTGATCTGTAGGTGTCATGGTATACGAAACAACTGGGAAATGGCGAGGTCAAAAAAATCGTCCAAAAAAAGTATGAGCTATAGCTCATGGTTTTTTACGAAAATTGGCCAATTTTTAACCTGGTCGTTTTTCCTAGATTCGGCCACATGGGCCTAATTGAGTATCATCCGATTTATCGTTCTTTAAGCTTAAAACGAGGATTTAAGTGGCATTAATCAACCTACAGAGGACTCTTGTGATCTGTAGGTGTCATGGTATACGAAACAACTGGAAAATGGCGGGGTAAAAAAAATCGTCCAAAAAAAAGTATGAGCTATTGCTCACGGTTTTAACGAAAATTGCCCAATATTAAACCTGGTCGTTTTTCCTAGATTCGGCCACATGGGCCTAATTGAGTATCATCCTATTTATCGTTATTTAAGCTTGAAACAAGGATTTAAGTGGCATTTATCAACCTACAGAGGACTATTGTGATCTGTAGGTGTCATGGTATACGAAACAACTGGAAAATGGCGGGGTAAAAAAATCGTCCAAAAAAAAGGTATGAGCTATAGCTCATGGTTTTAACGAAAATTGCCCAATATTAAACCGGGTCGTTTTTCTTAGATTCGGCCACATGGGCCTAATTGAGTATCATCCGATTTATCGTTCTTTAAGCTTAAAACGAGGATTTAAGTGGCATTAATCAACCTACAGAGGACTCTTGTGATCTGTAGGTGTCATGGTATACGAAACAACTGGAAAATGGCGGGGTAAAAAAAATCGTCCAAAAAAAGTATGAGCTATTGCTCATGGTTTTAACGAAAATTGCCCAATATTAAACCGGGTCGTTTTTCTTAGATTCGGCCACATGGGCCTAATTGAGTATCATCCGATTTATCGTTATTTAAGCTTAAAACGAGGATTTAAGTGGCATATATCAACCTACAGAGGACTGTTGTAATCTGTAGGTGTCATGGTATACGAAACAACTGGAAAATAGCAGGGTAAAAAAAATCGTCAAAAAAAAGGTATGAGATATAGCTCATGGTTTTAACGAAAATTGCCCAATATTAAACCTGGTCGTTTTTCTTAGATTCGGCCACATGGTCCTAATTGAGTATCATCCGATTTATCTTTATTTAAGCTTAAAACGAGGATTTAAGTGGCATTTATCAACCTACAGAGGACTATTGTGATCTGTAGGTGTCATGATATACGAAACAACTGGAAAATGGCGGGGTAAAAAAAAATCGTCCAAAAAAAGTATGAGCTATAGCTCATAGTTTTTTACGAAATTATCCAATTTTTAACCTGGTCGTTTTTCCTAGATTCGGCCACATGGGTCTAATTAAGTATCATTCGATTTATCGTTATTTAAGCTTAAAACGAGGATTTAAGTGGCATTTATCAACCTACAGAGGACTCTTGTGATCTGTAGGTGTCATGGTATACGAAACAACTGGAAAATGGCGGGGTAAAAAAAATCGTCCAAAAAAAAGGTGTGAGATATAGCTCATGGTTTTAACGAAAATTGCCCAATATTAAACCTGGTCGTTTTTCTTAGATTCGGCCACATGGTCCTAATTGAGTATCATCCGATTTTTACTTTATTTAAGCTTAAAACGAGGATTTAAGTGGCATTTATCAACCTACAGAGGACTATTGTGATCTGTAGGTGTCATGGTATACGAAACAACTGGAAAAT